CAGTGGAGGAGTGTTCCCTTTGCTCCACATCCTCTCCAACATTGGTTGTCATTGGTGTTTTTGATCTTAGCCATTCTAACAGGTGTAAGGTGGTATCTCAGAGTCGTTTTGATTTGCATTTCTCTGATGATTAAGGATGTTGAGCATTTCTTTAAATGTCTTTCAGCCATTTGTAGTTCTTGGCCTAGCCCTTCTTTTACTTTTGAGAAAGGATTTCTGAGTCCTAGTTGTGACTTGGGCGGCCTAAAGTATCCCTGTTGGGCCCCGCAGGGCAACAACTGTTCATCAGAAGGCCACACACCAGCAGGTTATTGACAGTGCTCTACTGTTCATGTTCTGCTGGACGGCTGCTTTTCCCGGGCTTCTGCGGTATGGACTCGTCTTCTGTCCACTCTGCACGGCTCTAAGAACGTCCTAGGGATTACTCCTGCCAGGAGTGATGGCACCGGCTTGTAATCCCAGAAGAGGCAGGAGATTTGCTTCAAGTCCAAGATAAGCTTGGGCTACACAGAGAGACCCTGCCTCGAACCAAAGAAGTGTTCCTTCGTGCAACTCTCCTCCCCTGTCAACTCCATGTCAGACACCGTGGTGGGCTTCTGTAGCACGGATAATGTGGAGAGGGTGTGGCCCGGTACCGTCTTCCCTAATGAAGATCCCTCTCCTGCAGGTGGCTGTCTGCCCAGTCCAGCACCATGCACACGCTTGTGTTCCTCAGCACACGGCAGGTGCTCCAGTGCCAGCCGGCTGCCTGCCAGGCCCTGCCGCTGCTGCCCCGGGAACTCTTCCCCCTGCTCTTCAAGGTGGCCTTCATGGACAAGAAGACGGTTGTACTTCAAGAGCTGGTGCACACATGGCCCTTCCCGCTCCTTAGCTTCCAGCAGCTGCTGCAAGAGTGTGTCCATTGCAGCCGAGCCCTGCTGCAGGAGCGGCTCAGCACAGAGAGCATGCAGGCTGTGATCCTGGGCCTGACTGCCCGGCTTCACACTCCAGAAAAGGAGGCTGGCACGCAACCCCTTTGCAGGTATGCATTTATCCGAGGGGCCCACGGGCTAGGGGTACAGAGAGGATTCACTGAGTTGGCGCCAGGCTGTGGTCCTGAGGTGAGAAAGAGCGTAGGATGGGAATTGTCATATTGGTTGCTTTTGTATAAGGTGGCTGGGAGGGATGTGGGCCTTGCCCCCTCATTCCCCGCTTCTGGCCGTCCTTGTTCCCAGGAAGCATGCATTGCGGGTACTGGACATGACTGGTCTTCTGGATGACGGTGTGGAGCAGGATCCTGCAACCATGAGCATGTGGGACTGCACAGCAGCTGTAGCCAGAACGTGTATTGCCCAGCAGCAGGGTGGGACTGCTGAGCCAGGGCTGTCACCGGCCCCTGTGGAAGTTCGCGTAGACCTCCGGGTAAACCGGGCCTCCTACACGTTCCTTCGTGAGGCCCTCCAGAGTAGTGTGGACAGCCCGCTTCGGCTCTGTTGCCGGGACCTCTGGGCTGAGGATCTGCCCATGCGCAACACTGTGGCCCTGCTGCAGCTTCTAGACGCAGGCTGTCTACGCCGCATAGACCTGCGCTTCAATAACCTGGGCTTGCGTGGCCTGTCCGTCATCATCCCACACGTGGCCCGCTTTCAGCACCTAGCTAGCCTGAGGCTGCACTATGTGCATGGGGACTCGAGGCAGCCCTCTGTGGACGGCGAGGACAACTTCCGCTACTTCCTGGCCCAGATGGGCCGCTTTATCTGTCTCCGGGAGCTCAGCATGGGCTCTTCTCTCCTTTCAGGCAGGCTGGATCAACTGCTCAGGTGAGTGGTTTCTGCCATTGCTCTGCCCCTCCTCTCTGTGAGGACACTCCCCTTGGCCTACCTGCCCACGACCCCTGTGTCTGTCACCCCTTTGTCCCTGCAGCACCCTGCAGAGCCCCCTGGAAAGCCTCGAGCTGGCCTTCTGTGCCCTGCTGCCTGAGGACCTCCGCTTCTTGGCCCAGAGCTCCCATGCGGCCCACCTCAAGAAGCTGGATCTGAGTGGCAACGACCTGTCAGGGAACCAGCTGACACCCTTCCAGGGTCTGTTGCAGGCTGCCGCGGCCACGCTGCTGCACCTTGAGCTGACGGAGTGCCAGCTTGCTGATGCCCAGCTGTTGGCCACACTGCCCACCCTGACTCGATGTGCCAGTCTCCGCTACCTTGGTCTCTATGGCAACCCTTTGTCTATGGCAGGCCTTAAAGAGCTGCTTCGGGACTCTGTGGTGCAGGCCGAGCTACGCACTGTGGTGCACCCCTTCCCCGTGGATTGTTACGAGGGCCTGCCTTGGCCACCACCTGCCTCGGTGCTTCTGGAAGCCTCCATCAATGAGGAGAAGTTTGCCCGAGTAGAAGCTGAGTTGCATCAGCTGCTGTTAGCTTCAGGCCGTGCCCACGTGCTCTGGACCACAGACATCTATGGGCGCCTGGCTGCGGACTATTTCAGCCTCTGATCTCCAGGGTCCTGATGAGGGCTAGGACAAGAGCCTTGGGGACTCTGCTGGAGGCCCGACACAAGGCTTTCTGAGGTTCTCTGCAGTTTGCCTTGCTCCTGGGTGTACCTTGAGTCACCCAGGTTTTGCAGTATCCTTCACCTGCTCCCACCTGTCTGGCCGACTGTTGGTCTCTTAGGACGCTACTCCCTCACCCTGTGTGGCTGCACTTGATGGCTCTTCTGGGTGGCAGCCTCTCTGCAGAAAAGAGTCCCTGGGCACATCCCAGGCCCTTAGAAGGAGTGCAGTAGATGAGGTAGAGATTAGGATGATCTGCTTTATGGAGTTTTGGGAGTACCCCATGCAGTCTGGGGCCTCATGCTGTGTATCCTGTCTGGCACCTGAGACACTCCATTACCCGACTCTGTGGGGTGTGAGCAAGGTACAAATGTGCAGTATCTGGAACGTGAATCTATGGGCTTTTTGTGGTGTGTGTGTGTCCTAACTGGATAGGAAAGACTTGCCTACATTGCTGGTGTTGCCTCATCATGGCAAGTTGCCAAGCATCACCCAAGCTACTGGCCCCACTTTGTTATCACGCTAGTCCTAGTGTCCAGAGCCAGCGTGGACTGCCGGAGCTGGCGGCTGGGGACACCTTATCCACGGCCCCGGTCACCCACAGACCCCCGGTTCCCGACCTGACAACCCCAGCACACACACCTCTGCAGCGCGATTCCCGACCTGAAGCCCCCCCAACACACAGCGCTGTAGCGCGGCTTCAACTTTACTAATGAGCATGTGCAGGGCTGCACCGGCCAATCCCCAGTGCCCACGTCACTGACCCGCGCGGCAGGCTTAGCAATGGATCTCATAGGCGACGCGTGGAGGGAGGCGTAGCCCAGACATGAGCCCCTCGGGAGGAGGGTTTTGTTCGGGCGGCTCCTCGGGCGGCACCTCTGCGAACAGGGGCTTGGAACGGTCAATGACGAACATCTCGTGTCCACGTTCATCGCGGAATTCCTCGAGCTGCGCAAAGGTGCAAGGCCCGTCTGAATAGTCGTTGACGAATAGTGTGCCTTCCCCCGGCGGCGCAGGCACCTTTTTCCGCCGGCGCCGGCGCCGGCAGATCATAGCAGCCAAGAGCAGCGCCGTGAGCGCCAGCAGCGCGATGGCCGCTGCGATCGCCGTCTGCGTTGCTAGGCCCAGGGCACGGAAGGCCATGCTGCCCGTCTCGTGCCGGGGCTCGTGTCCCACGGGGCGTGTAGCCGGGGCCTGCGGGGCGGGTGGCTGCGGTGACTGCTGCCGGGACGCGTTGACCAGGAGATGGAAGGGCACACGCGCTCTGCCCCCAGCATTGGCGGCCTCGCATTCGTACTTGCCGGCGTGAGCCAGTGTGATGTTGGTGAGGAAGAGCATGCCGCTGCCGGTGTCACGGGTCGCATGCCCACCCAGGCCCGATGTCCCACCTTCCAGCTGGGCTTGCGCTTGAGGTTTGCCATCGCGAGGCTGGGGCACCTTTCTCCAGACCACCAGGGGCTGTGGGTATCCTGATGCCTGACAGGCTACCTGCAGGTCTTCCCCCAGGTTAGCTGTGAGCTCCGGGGGCTCCACGTTCACAGAGGGAGGGATGCAGATGAGGCTACCACCAGATACTTCTAGTAGACTCTGTAGCGCCAGGCGAGGGGGCTCTGCACATGTGATCTTCTTGTCTCTGGAGCTCAGCAGCCGGCGGCCCCCCTCTTTGATCCAAGAGCCCAGCCAGTGAAGGGCACAATCACAACGCCATGGGTTCTCTGTGTAGGGCAGAATACAACCTAGGTAGATGGGGTCCTGCTGATCCAGACAGAAGCCCTTTTCCACCTCTTACAGATGCCTATGGAGTCCCAGAACCCTTACCACCTCTTCCCTCAGTCCAAGTTCCTAGGAGTGTGTGTGATCCCAGATCCCAGTTCCTGAAAGAGCATCAGCTTCTCTGAAGTCCCATTTTGCAAGCCTCCACGTCCTTGCATATTCCAGCCGCACTGAAACCCTGTTGTCAAATCCACTCTCAGGTTTTTGCCTGCCTGACCTCTGATGACGAGTTGCAGGAGCCTCAGTTCTGTTAAGTTACTCTGTGGAACTGGTACTTGTCTTCCTTACACGGTAGGGTGCATGAGCACTCTACCAGCACCCCCTGGTGGTCATTTACCAAGGCTGCAGGTTCTGGTGTGACCCTGCAGAGTAATGCCCATGGACTGCCATAGTGAGGCAAGACAGAAGGGGGAAATTATAGGGACACAGGAAGTCTCCATAGAATCCGGTTGAAGATTCTCACCAAGTGAGACTCAAGGATTACGGCACAATTAACATTTGCTTTGAAGATTGCCAACGTAATAATATTCCTTTTAAATATAGAATGTTCAAGTAGCAGTGAACCATACTTAAGGCCCAAGCATATATAAATATGATCTTCAAGAATGACCTCACTCCTTTTGTAGGTAATTTCTGGGGGAATCACAAGACTAAACCTTTGTTTACAGTAAGGGCATCTTCCCCCCGCAACCCCTGTTTCCTGGGGAGTTGCACTATCATCTGTAACACCATCCAAGGCAGAGGAACCACCCTATGGTCTCACTTAAGTTTTGTTTGTTTTATTTTCCAGACAGGGTTTCTCTGTGTAACCCTGCCTGTCCAGGATCTCGATTTGTATACCAGAGTAACCTTGAGCCCAGAGATCCTCCTGCCTCTGCCTCCCGAGTGCTGGAAGGAAAGGCTTGCACCACCGTACCCAACTCACTTACGTTCTTTAACCATCCTTAGAGATGTAACTTCTGAAGCCATCAAAACCAGTGTATGTGGCTGCTGTCAAGGCGCTCGTGACTGTAAACTCCACACCAGTGCCCTTGTGTGTCTTTCGTCCACAGCACCTGTCTTAACCCTCTGTTAATGTCCCCTTTAATAAACCCCAACTCTGTTACATCTTGGCTTATTCTGAAATTCTTTTCTGCAGTGAAGTGAAGAACCTGGCTCCGCCTGAGTCAGGGTCTGTAAAAAACTGAGAGAACTCCCCAGGTCGATGTGGCCACAGTGTGGAGTGGTCTCTGTTCCTACCACATCTGACAACAGGGACCCCCTGTGTACCTGAGCCTGCTTCTTCCTACTGGTGCAAGAAGAGACCCTTGGCCAAAGGAAGTTACCTGTGAGGCGCAGGACTTGTAGGCTGCTCAGAGGCTGCAGGGCCTCTCTGCTGATGGTGCCCAGTTGGTTCCGGCTGAGGTCCAGCAGGGCCAAGGAGGAAAGCCCAGCCAAGGCCTGGTCCTCCAGTAATTCAATGCTGTTTTCTTGAAGATGCAGCTCCTGCAGTCGCTGAAGTAGGGACAGCAGAGCATCAGGAAAAGGGACCCCGAGAAGCTAGACAATATTGACCCCCCCCCCCATTGACATCACAGCAAGATCCCGCACTTTTGGCATTTGTCGCTCACCGGCAGGTGCAGGAAGGTGAAATCCAGCAGCTTCGCCAGCTGGTTTCCAGCCAGGTAAAGCACGCGTAGCTGGACCAAGCCCACAAATGCCCCGCCGCGCAGTCCCCGAAGCCGGTTGCCGGTGAGCGCCAGTTCCAGCAGGCGTGGCTGTGCGCGGAAGGCGCCGGACTCCAGCGCCCGAAGGGTATTGTTGTGCAGGTAGAGGTGGCGCAGGGCAGCGAGAGGCGCCAGGGCGCCCTGCTCCAGGTGCGCGATGCTGTTGTCTTGCAGGAACAGCGTCTGAAGGTTGTGGGGACGAGAGGATTACTTCACTGTGGGGCATGCCCCATTCCCGTGGAGCTCACCATTCCACATGCCTACCTCTGCACCCTAGTGACCTTCCACCACCCCTCTGATGCCCACACAATCTCCTCCATTGCGGTGGGCACTTGTAGCCCACTACTCCAACCCAAGACCCTCCAGTCCCACATAGTGCCCACCTGCGTCCCTGGGGGGATGCCCGGTGGTACGACACGCAGCCGTAGGGCGCCGCACTCCACTGTGGCGCTGTAGCAGCGGCAGGCGGCGGGACAGCCAGTGGCGCGGGGCGGGAGTCCGGGCAGCAGCGGCAGCAACAGCAACCCCAGAAGTAGCAGCAGCAGCGGGGGAACCCCTGAGGCCATTTCCGAAGAGCCCCACCGGGAAGTTGTGGCTTCCCGCAGGGACTGGACCCAGAATGGGATGTGTCTCCTGAAACAGGTTAGCAGGCCAGTGCTAACATCAGCCAGCCAGCGCATGGGCAGGAATGAAATGCCAGGCATGGGTGGGTCACGCTTTTCATCTCAACACTGGGAAGGCTGAGGTAGCAGGCCTGGTGTGAATTCAAGGTTAGACCTAGACAGAGTGTTCCAGGCCAGTCTGGCTGGACTGCAGTGAGACTTTGTCTCAAAATATAAAACAAAAGTAAGAAACAACTAATTAACACGGATGGAAGTCTACAAACAACCCCCGTGTGACTTCTGAGAAGTTAAGAACAGCACTCAGGAGGCAGAGGAAGGCAGATATCTATGAGATGAGGCCAGACTGGTTTACACAGTTAAGGCTCCATATTTTTTTTTTTTTTATTTATTTTTTTTTTTAAAGCCTGATTTCTTCCCTTGGTAAAATTTGTATGAAGGCAGGCAAGATGGCTGCACAAGTGAAGGCCCTTGCCTGGTAAGCCTGATGGAAGAGAATTGATTCCACAAAGGTGTCTTTTGACCTCCATGACCCCCCCCCCATGCGGGAAAACAATATTTTGAAAAAGGGAAACAAAACAAAACTCTTTCTCTGAGGTCCCTACCTAGCCCTGGCTTTCCTCCTGTGCCCCGAGAGCCTCCTGCTCCTCACCGGCAGGACACCGCCTGGCTCACCTGCACCTGTTCCCAGATGCAACAGCACATACTATAGGCCTGGGGACTGCCTGGGCTGGCCAAGTCCAGGGCCCAAACCCAGGCCTGGGCCAAAAAGAGCAGGATCTGGGCAGGCATGTCCCCTTGGTCTCACTTTGTGGGTACTGGCATCAGCATCAAGTTCAGTTCTGAGCAGAAAACTCTGTGCCCCGTCACAAGAGCAAGGAGCCCCACTTGACCTTGACCCACATAACCCCACCTTATGGTCCATCTGTCATGATTTGAGGGGCTGCTCGGTGCAGTCCGTGATCCTCCTGTTGTAGGGATGGAGGTGAGTGGACAGCTTACTTAAGAGTTAGGCTTCTTCCTCAGGTAACTCATACTTTTTATTTCCTTTTAAATGGGGTCTACTGTGTTTCGGGGGGTGGCCTGGAATTTATTATGTGGACCGCAACAGCCTCAAGACCCAGAGCTCTTAATGTCTTCGCCTCTGAGCGCTGACACTAATGGCCCGTGTCAACTATGCCCAGCTTCCTTCTAATTCTTTTTTCCAAAAAAACTTTCATTTAGATTTTTTTTAATTTATTTTTATTTTATGTGCATGGTGTTTTTTGCCATGGATGTTGGGTCCCTTGGAACTGGAGTTACAGACAGTTGTGATCTGCCATGTGGTTGCTGGGAATTGAACCCGGGTCCTCTGGAAGAGCGGCCATTGCTCGTAACCCCTGAGCCATCTCTCCAGTCCCTAGATTTATTTTATGCATATGAGTGTTTTGCCTGCATGTATGTATGTGCATCTCATGCATGCCTGGTGCCCTCATGTCAGAAGGACATCAGATTTCCTGGAACTGGAGTTAGGATGGTTGTAAGCCACCATGTGGGTGCTAGGAATCAAAGCTGGATCCTCTGGAAGAGCAGCCAGTGTTCTTAACCATCAAGACCCCCTTGAGACAGGGTCTTTCTCTATGTGGCCCTGACTGTTTTGGAACTCGCTCTGTAAATCAGGCTGGTCTTGAACTCACAGAGACCCACCAGCCTCTGCCTCTCTAGTACTGGGATTAAAGACCTAAACCATCACACCTGGCTGTCACTTCTAGCTTTTTTGAGTCAGGGTCTTGCTATATAGCCTGTGCTATACTTGAACTTGAGATGCTATTGCTCATGCTCCCAAGTGGCAAGGTTACAGGTGTGCACCATCACACCTAGCTTTCTCGGGTCTTTGTTTAGAGAACAGAGGGGTAAGACAGAGAAACCAGTTCATAGGCCAAGAGCCTGTCCCCCAGCCCCACAAGCTGGTTCCCAAGGAGCCTCTATCTTTGGAGTAAATGGTGTGTGTCCTGGCTGGGGTGTGGGAGGAAGCCTTAGGCCACCATCTGCCCACCCCTTTCCCCCTTCCTTCTGGGAACTGACCTCAGTGTCTCCTGCCATGATACACTCCTGAATTTCACTCCTATCATGCCTACTGGGTATCTAGCTTCCTAAGTACAATACAGGAGCAGTGACCTCTGAAACTATCAAGAAATGCATTCTACAGTAGTTTATTGCATGTGCCTGTGACCCTAGGGACAGGAGGACTAGGGTCTGGTTCTAGGCACAATGCTGTTTTTAATGGTGGTACCAAGGCAGAGAAGCGTGCTTTCCTAAAGTTAAGGAGGATAAGAGAGAGGGTGCACCGTTTTCCTCACTGGCACGGTCTGCCGCGTTTAGCACCTGCTCATTCACTAGGTCTCCTTCCTTGCCGTGTGTCAAGTTGAACTGCACTAGGTGGCCTTGGTGTTTGTTTCAGTTTTGCACCAATTGTAAGTTACATCTATGCCATTTAGAGTCAATAGAGATGAGGCAGCAGAACAGTAAAGTTTTAATGGAATAGCTTTGGCGCAGGCAAAGGCAGTTCCTAGATATCTCAGGACATGTGGAGCCCCAAGAAGCTGGGATGTTTGCTAGGCTTCTGGGTTTAATCTCCCGGAGCACGAATCACGGCTTGGTCCCTGGCTCCAGACCTTGCGCATCTGTCCAGCCTTCATTTGCAAAGCCTTGATCTGTGCACTAGGGATCAGAGCTGCTGCTCATGCAGTCGCCCAGATGTGCATCAGTGCAAGACAGCCATGACAGGAACGAGGGCCCCTTACTAGAGGAGCCCAGAAATCCTTTCATCGGAACGTGAACCCCCTAATCCTAGGCAGGAGCGGGGCGTCAGTCTCCTGGGTGCTCATCTAGGCGGGAAGAGGATGAGTGGAGAGGAGCCCTGTGTCCTCCCTCGGGCGCAGCACGAAGCCCCAGCTGAGGTCTCTGGCAGCCCTTGCAACCAGACGCCTGGAACCAGCACTACCTCCCCTAACCTCCCCCTCCCGCCCCAGTGAGTCCGAGCCTGCTCGTAGAGGGCGTGGCTTCCATCCCCTCCCCGCAGCCAGATCGCCTGACCTTTCCTTGGTGCTGCAGTCAGAACCTAAAGGGCCCCGATCCCGCCCCCAATCCTGGTGACCTTGGGCCAGGATCCCCCTCACCTGCTCCAGGGGCGAGCGACTCCCCGCGGTGCTTGCGGCGGCAAGACTGGAGAAGCGGCGGCGGGGGGTGGGCGCGGGCGCGCACGCGCGCACCGGCCCACGCGCGCCTGCCGCCCCGCCTGACGTGACCAGCGCAGGCCAATCCGTGGGATGCAAGGCCGGTGTAAGGGTTAGAGGTGGCGGAGAGAGGACCTCGGTAGGGACCGAGGATAGCAGGGCCGCGCCAGAACCTTGGACAGCGCCAGCCTAAGGAAGCCCAAAGCGCCTCTTGCGCGCACGCGCACTCAGTCACCGGCAGGTGACAGGGGACATCTGGGTCGACCTGGAGCCGTGGGACCGGGGGGTAACCTGCGAGTACTACAAAGCCCAGTATTTGCCTTAACCCTCCCCACCCAGTCTCAGCCGGAGGCTCAGGGCGGCGGGGCAGTGGGCAGCAGCGGGGCCAGATCCATAGTGAGGGCGATGCGGCTACCTTGCCAGTGCACGTGAGAGGGGACCGCGGGGGAGCCAGACCCATACTCGAAGCAGGCACTGAGCTCGAAGGCCAGGGCCGAGCGCACTAGGCCCACGCCGCCCGCGCGCGCCGGGGCCGGGTGGTACAGGCGCCCGTTGGCCGCCAGGGGTAGCAAGCGAGCCGGCTCGAAGGGTACGGCCAGGGCCTCGCCGCCGCCGCAGAAGGAGAGGCGAGGGGCCGCGCTGTCGGGGGCCAGCAGGTGCGTGAAGACCACCGGGCGGTCTTCACAGCGCAGGAAGTTACGCTCTCGGCCGCAGAGAGAGAGGAAGGGGAAGGATGCCTCGTAGCGCCCGCTCTGGTTAGGTCTCAGACGGGAGAAGAAAGTGACCAGGAACTGCAGGTCTGCGGGAACAAAAGGCGCGACTGTGCACGCTCGGTGGGCACGCTTCCCAGGCGGGCTGCTCTTCCTGGGCACGCCAGCAGTGGCACGGGGCTGCCGGCCCCCCCACCCCCCGAGGGTGGGAGCTGCCTGCGGAGAGGGGGAGCTGGAGGCTTTGAAGGGCGGAGGGAGAGCGGCATGAGGGAGCAGTGCCGCCAGCGGTACCTTTGAAGCAGGTGACAAAGTTCTTCATTTTGGAGTCATCCAGGAAAAGCTGCAGACAGAAGGGACAGTGGACAGTCAGTCCCGGAAAGCAAGCCCTGAGCCCAGTGCTGTGTCGCTGTTCTTGCTTTCCTGTATACCGTGTTCAAGGGGCATGTGGAAGGGCCCTGCAGACTTAACTCACGCCTACTTACAGGTTTCCAGCGCTGCACCCCCTTTTCCCCCCCTTTTAAAGCCCGCCTGACCGCCGCTGCCCTCCAGCGACCGCGAGCGTTCAGCTCAGGGATTGGTGCTAGGAAGCCGGCGTGGGGCGGGGCTGCGATGCCGTGCAAGCGGCGGCCTCTGGGCTTTCGGCTCCAGCCTGGGCTTTGAAAGTCGGGTTCACCACCACGCGCAGCACCTATTCCTTCCTAGGTTTCGGCCCTAGAACTCTTCCCCGCCCCAGGCCGACTCTCCAGCTCCCTCGGGACCCCTCCCTCTGTCGGGCGCCAGGCACACCTGGCCCTGGTGATCCACGTAGTAGAAATACTCGCGGGTTCTGGGCTCCGGGCTTTGGCCCTGTGTGTAGGAGACACGTTCGTCCCCACTGCAGGCCCGAGCTCCCCGCGACCTCGCCAAGGCTACAGCCAAGTTGCGCAGTGACCTGCAAGGAGGCCACATCCTTCCACACCGGAAACAGGTCACACAGACGATCCAGCGCCTGGTGCTTTGGGTTCCGGCGGCAGCACGTGTTCGGCGGGGCGGGGCGCGGAGCCCCGCCCCCGGGGAGGAGCCACACTGTGTGGACCACGCCCCCACCCCCCCTTCCCCGCGTCGAAGTAACCAGGCACAGGCAGTTGAGTGTGCATTTGAACTTTATTCACACCGAGCGCTGTCACCTCTGTCCACACGTCGGAGGGAGCGCCTGCGGCAGGGACGCCGGAGAGGTCCAGGATCCGCCCCAGGGGGCTACGGGCCTCGCCAAGGCGGGACTTTTGTTTTTAATAAATAAAAACAACTCTAAAAATATATATATATATATAAACGGGAGAAATTAAGTTTGACAACTGTTGGAACTCAGATTCCAGGATGGAAAAGGCGGACGAGTCCAGGTCCCATCCGCAGGCCGCCCGCCCGGGTGTGGAGTTTGGTCAGAGGCCGTGAGGTCAAAGGGTGGTGGTAACTTGCTCAGCGAGAGGACGGCAATGGCAGTTCAAGAGATAAATAGCATCTGGTTAAAACTATGTCCTTAGCAAACTTAATTCTGACATCTGTCGTTCTATTTATATCTTTATACACAAGTAGGCTGGGTGCGGGTTAGATTCTGGACTCACACCAAAAACAAAAACCCAAAACAAAAACAAAAAACCTCTCACCCTCCCCCACCCGCCCCAAGAACGCCTGCCTAGCCCTGGCCCCACCCCAGAGGGCTTTGGTGTGGGGCCTCCCCTTGCACAAAGACCTATTAGGCATTAGGTCGACGGGACTGCGTCCGAGTGGTGGCCAGCACAGCTCTCTAGAGCGCCTCTAAGCCTCCTTCAGGCCCGGGCCAGAGGCCTCTAGACTAGGGTAGGAGGGGTCAGGGCTAGAGTGCCTGGGTGGCAGACTGCCCTGGAGAGGGGACGAGGTCGTGTTGCCCTGAGCAACGCGGCATGTGCTTCGGCCGACCAGGAGGGCAGTGTCGCTCGGCTCCGGCAAACAGAAGGCACTTCTCGGGGCTGGCCTGCGGCCGGCGGGGCGAGCCGGTGCCCGCAGGAACTGGCCGCGAGATATGGCGCGGCTGCTTTGCCCAGGAGGGTCTGGGGCGGGGCAGGGCGGGCGTCTGGCGGGGCTTGGCATGCTGCCTCGCGCTGGGGCCTTCCCTCCCACCTCCCCGGGTGTCACCCTAGCTGGTGTCCGTAGCCCGCGTGCTATAGAACGCCTTCCATGAAGCTGGTATCTAGATGCTGAATGAGCACTCGCAGAAAGGACATCTCCTTTCGCGTGTTCTCAAAGATGACGCGTGGGTCATCCGACTGGCAGCGCAGGCAGTTGGGTGCCATCACCATGGCCAAGTTGCTGACGTCCATTTTGGTGATGGCTACGTTGGCTGGCTGCACGAACACCTAAGTGGGGGGAGCGGAGAAGGGAGAGGAGGAGAGCAGAGTGGAGGGTGGGCGTGGATATTAAGGGGTTAGCAGGGAAGGCAGGTTGGGTAGGGTGAAAGGTGGGCACTGGCGTGGCATTGGGGGCAGAGCATGCATACCTGGAGGAAGCGAATGAGGTAGCACAGCACCATACGGTTGATGCGCGGTAGCGAGTGCACCACGGCCACTGCAGCCTCCGGGCTCTCGTAGTGCGCAATGCATTGTTCGTAGAATTCGTGAGGAATCAAGGGCTCCTCCAGCTCCCGATACCACAGCTTCAGCAGCGATGCTGAGGATAGGAGTGGCTTAGATGGTTATGGTCTGAGGGCCCCTAAGCCAAGCATCCACCAGAGGCCACATCCAGAGATGCAGGGGGAGTGTAGTGTGTGCCAGGGTATAGAGCAGGCTGGAAAGGGGCCCCTTGGCCAAAGCTGTTGAGACGGAGCCCAGATCCCAGAGACACTAGCTGCTGGAGGACCTGGGATCAATCTTGGTGGTTTAGGTGTATGTAGGTCCACAATGACTACAAATAGACTTTGTCAGAAGGGCTGTGCAGCTGCTGAAGTAGCTGGATGAAAATGCCCCAAGAGCTGGGGGCCGGGCTGCTCTGGAGGGGCAGAGCCCGGGGTGCGTCAACAACACTGGCATGTCCAGTGGGGGGATGTCTGGAAGCGATGGGGAGACATCACTTCACTAAGAGAATGCTTCTGGAGGTAGGTTCCAGGGTGGAAGAGGATGGTGAGATGCAGCCACAGAAGGACAGAGGGACAAGGCCATAGGGTGATCCAGAGGTGGATGACTAGACAGGGATCCTGGCCTGAATGGTGATCTACTTTCTGGGATATGCATGCAGACCAACACCCACCCAGCTGTTAAGTATGTTTGGGGCTCACCAGGGACGTGGGGGTCCTCCAGGCCTGTGGGCACCTTCCACTGGTCCACCTGCAACTTCAGGGCATTCACCTCATCAATGTCACCAGGGACCCTAGAGCATAGGGCAAGTGTCAGACCAGAGGAGATCATCTTGCCCCAGTGCTCAAGTCTGGAGGGGCAGAAAGCTTTAAGGTCCCACCAACCTGACTAATTCTCTCATGGAGGGTGGGATGAGTCAGGACTTGGTTGCTCTTTTGGGGGCATCCTGCCCCGTGCACTTGGGTCAGTGGTGTGGGATTCTCCTGGGGCCTTCTCCCTTCAGGGACTCTGCTGGTTTCTCTGTGCAGCTGTCTCCCTCTGTCGGCCACTAAAGCCCAAACCTAGGCCCTTGGCTTCCCTACTTATCCTTTGGGGGCTTGAACATCCCTGGTCCTGACAGGCAAGTCATTACAGTGGCTGATACTGCAAAGGCAAGTGCCACCCCAGGGCACGGTCTGTCACATCCTGTCCACACAGGGTGAAGAACTGGGGATGATGAGCTGCCTGGCCAGCTTCAATGCCATCTTTGAGGCTCTTATCAAAGGTGATGTCCTTGCTGGTATCCGGGTCACTCTGGACCCCTACTGGCTGTCTCTCGTTGGCCATGTTGCTATTTTGGGCAGTGACACAGGCACCTTGCCCCCTATGGATGGGACATCGTCTTGTCTCTTGGGGTGCATGGCCTCTAGGCTTTATGGTCCCTGATAGTCGAGATCTATAGTGAACCCACCACTGTGCTCTTTCCCCACCCAGTCTGGGATTGGCAAGGCACCTGAAGATGCCCTCTGTCTGGTCACCGTTGAGCGCCAGCACCTCCTCGGAGAGGCGCGTCTGGACCCAGGGCAGCTGCCTGTCAGGGTAGCGCTCTTTCTGCATGCTCATGACCTCCTGCAGTGCACTGCCGAACATGGACGGGCTGAACACTGCGTTCTTGGCATGCCGTATTTCCTCCACGTTGGGTTTCTTCAAGCCCTGTGAAAACAGCCCAGCCATCAGGTCCTGCTG